AGCATTGGCTACAGCTAGGGAACATTTCACCAGATCTCTTCTTAAATGATCCCTATGCTGTTTGACAAAGGATGAGAAGTCTCTTGCGCAAAGTCCTATTATGCTGTTTTCTGCAGCCCAGTGTTTCGTTGGTGCGTTAAGGATGGATCCTTGAGATTTGACAAAATTATCAGTTCTTACCTTTTTTTTACTGTCAACTTGTAAATTCTATCGGTTAGTATTCAGGGCTTTAGTTGTCTGGAAACAAATGGTGAGATGCAAATCAAATAATAATATCTGATAAAAGGATTTTCATCAAATCTAAACACAAAAAATCTGAAGAATGTTCCCTAATTAAAAATATAATAAAATTTCTAAGACAATCAAGTAAATTAATATCGTTCCAAAAGCATGGAAGCAATTTTGGTGAAGAGCGATTGGGTGAACAGTGATCATTTAAAATTAAACTGCCAGGTTATATGAGATTGAAAGTGCGAGTGGAATTATATTTAATATACTTATCAGAGCGAGAAAGTTAAGTTTTCATTGTTTATGGATGGTCATGCTTAACATAGAAAAATAATTTGTCTCAAATGCTTATTTTCCTTCTTTATGTTTTGGAAGGAAAAGAAGAATTTAACTAATATGACTTTTGAAGAAGAGAAATCAGATTTAAATTTCATAAGATAAGAGACCAAAAAACAAAATAAAGAAATCATCTAATAAATGTTAATCTTATCCTTCATAAACGATACAGCATCACAAACAGACACTTGCTATTAAATGAAAGGAAAAGGCAAAACATCCAAATTCGCTTCCCCTGGCTTTTCTTCTTCCTTGCAGGGACAAGTCCCACAAAATTCATACAGCAGCAAGTCAACTATACATGTCCGTCCTTCAAGCAAAACAAAATAACTTGATATTATAGATAAGTCAAATAAAGTCAAAAACATCATATATTAAAAATCTAAATTCATCATTCTAGATAGCATCTTTAAATGGCATCAAAGGATTATAGCCATAGGTACAGAATCATCTAAGCTGTCAATCTGCCATGGACTCCTTTCCACCAAAATTGCTTAAACAAAGTGAACCCGCAATGTAATGAAGAATACCTAGGATGAAGGCTCTTCAATGGGGATTTTACTCACAGGCACAAGACTTTGTGCATAATTGAAAATACGCGCAGGCCAAGTACTACATTTACGGGTGTTAAATATCTTGAATTTATTAGTACTGATATTTAACAAATAAAGAACTGTCCTCGCTCCATTCTCAGCTTCACTTTTGGTTTCACCATCAAGTCCAGGTAGTTCATGAATGTTGTAGACAAGTTCATCCCCCCAAAAAATGGATGGAAATGGAATAAACAAGCCAACAGCTGAACAGGTGCTAGAGAATATCTTAGTCCAACTTCGTCTCTCCCCACAAGATGCACCAATATTCTCCTCCATCACCCACAAATCAAATATACAACCAGGGTCTGCATCCCTAACGAGGGAATGTATAGCAAGTTTGTCCTCATACACCATCATATGAAACATTGCATTATTACCTAACGCAGGTATTGGTACAAATTCAAACAGTTCCAATGCTATGTCAAATGAAACTACCACCTCAATATCATCTCCTCCCATCTCCCAATCTTCTAGTAACCCAATCCAAACATAGATCCATTAGCAGTTATAGCATCATTAACAAATCGTGTACCCGCCATGTAATCGAATTCTACTTCTTTCCATGACCTAGTGCTTAATGAATACACTTCCACTTGATAAATCGAATCCTTATACTCAGCATAAGTTCTCACTATCTTGTAATCATTAACCATGGGACTGAACCCAAATCCTAAACGGCATTCGCATTCAAAATCATCAACAGTCCTGGGCAACATTATGACATCACCTGTCGCCGGATTAAGCAAAAAAAGGAGAGGAGGATGTATACCTTGCACATCGATTTCAACACAGAGCAAGCCATTGCAGGAACCTATGATCCGCATGGCATCAAACAAGTTCGAAAGATCATGAACTTGCATCTCACGATCGAGCAAATATAAATGAGAAATATATTGACCTTCGCGTTCCGGTTGGAGAAGAAGAAGAGGGTTTTGATGGCTGGAGTGGTGGAAGTGGTCAGCGATGAAAGATGGACACTTGAAGAGATTTTTCCAATGTTTGCACACACATTGAAATCGCATCAGGGATTTTACAGGAAGACGTTTGAGAATGTTTCTTATGATTTCTTCGGGAAGAAATGGTGCGACTCTGTCGTCCATGATCATCGGCTTGATAGTGCTCGACTGTGACGAACAAATCCCTCGAAGAAAAGCCTTCCAATAAAAGGGGACAGTTGAAGGGTTTAGATTCTCTTCATGCTCTCAGGCATTGATTAATGAGGGCAGGGAGAGAGATCGCTTTGTGCGCGGGAAGGCCTGCGTCGTTTGCACTTCTGACGATTGGGTTGAGCTCGCTCCCGTCGCAGTGTGCATTATTAATGGCGTTCTTATCATTAGTTAAGTGCAGGCATTTGCTTTTTTTTAAAAAAAAAAAAAAACAGAGAGTGGCTATAAAATCCCAATTAAAAAATATAATTATTAAAAAGTTACAGTAATAACAGCAAAGCAACTCGCAAATAACAATTTTTAAAATAAAAAATGATAAATACTTATTTGTTATTAAAATTTATACGTAATTTTTTTCAATTTTGTTATAATTCTCTGTTTTTTTCTTTTTTTCCTATGGTATAATAGTGTGTGAAAATTACAAATAAATGCTTCTAAAATATGCATACGCCAGTGGTCCCAACTTCCAAAATCCTCATTAAATCACTCGTTAGATCAAAATGGAATTTAAAAATATGCGTACTCTTACAAAATTGCCCCTCATTTTAAAGGGAAAGTCACTCCACTAGAGCTCCCGCCGGTGGCTGGAATGCTTTTGACAAAATTGGTCACACCACCTCTTACATGCTAAAAGGTTATGGCTTTGTTGGCATCACGATCAAAATTATTTACAAGCACAGTTTACGTAAGTTGAGACAGAATTCTTTTAACATATTTACTTCATACTACCTCCAATCCTTATTATAAGACCCCGTTTGACTTTTTGTTTGGTCTTAATTATAAGACCCCAATCCATTTTGTCTCTCATATTTATGTATTTTTTTCCAAGATAATCCTTATAATAATTATAGTTCTAGCCAATATACTTAATTAGCAAGGATATTTTAGGAATGACAACACTTATTTATTACAAATAACTAACTTAACTTACTTTCTTAATCTTTTAAATAAGTCAACTGGGTCTTATAATTAGGACCGGAGGTAGTATTTTATAAATTATGATTAAAAAGTACTTAAAGCTATCACAAACGGGTCCTATGTGATCACTAAGCCACTAGGCCCTTTGGTGAAGCAGGGCAAAATGCTACATAAAATAATTGTTAAACTTTAGACGTTCAAAAGCAGTTATTTGCCACACCGCATTAGCTAATCCGAAACGGGGAAAAAAAAGAAAAGAAGTGATAATATACCCCTCAAAAGTTTTGTTAATAAATGACTTCTAGAGACTTACCAAATAACATTTCTGAACTTTTTTTAAAGCTCCCTATTATGTTCTATTCCCTTTAGTAAAATAACTAGATAAATCAACACAAATGAATTATTCATATAAATCTAAATTATGGGGATTCATAGTCAAATTTTCAAAGCGATTATGTGCCATTAAACTGAAAATTTAGAAAATTCCATGTTTTAAATGGTCATATACAATGATATACATATTTACATATAGACTGATGCCCTTGACAAAACTTGTGATGAATATCCACAACAATTGTATTTATACATATAGCCACACGCAGCAATTGTATCTGTCATAAAACACATGCATACATACATACATATCGTTTTATAACAATTCTCCATGCAAGTTAAAATTTTTCACCCAAAAACTCTTGAAGCATCCTTAAACTTTGCGGAGGCAAAAACCAATTCTTAACTATTTCTCCCCTCTTTGCTACCTCAATTTGTAACTTCTGATAGTTGATATTGTCAGCAAAAATATATATATATATATATATGTGTGTATACACACACACACGCACATATTGAGTGTTCTAATTGTTGAAATATGACGTCTCATTTATTTGAACGTCTGCACAAAGAATGCGTTTTAATGCAAGGATGTGGTATAACTACATCATTGGAACAGTTGTGAGGGGAAACGCAATTGTGGTAAATAGTGCTCGAGTTTTTTTTTTTTTTGGCCAAACAATAGATTTGGAAATTGGAATACATAAAGTCTTCTAAAGATGTGTTATAGCATTGTTGAGTATAGAAACTCTCTCTCATCATCCATTGCCATATATTATTTCACATTGTTGGACGGAAGAATGCATTTCTCATGATAAAAGTGAAGCATGAACAGGATAGGGGGAGTAAATAAAATGCTAGGAAAAATGAAACTAAAGGGTACGTGAGAAAGTAAATAAATTTGATATATGGCACAAATGCAAAATGAGAAAAGAAAAAAAAAAAACAGTTGCTGTAAATCGATTCACATTGTGCTGGATTAATTTTTACCAGGAGTCCTTAAACAAATCAAATCTCCAAAGTAATGATTAAGTTTTAGGAATGTGGATGTTGCCAACATAGAAAGAACACTAAACCTGATAATAGAAACAGGAAAAATACAACATGATAGAGGAATCTGGTGCTGAGTCTTAAGGGTATCAAGGACCACAAAAACAGTCAGATAATCTAAGAGTCTGTTTGGCTAAGCGTTTGAAAGAAAATAAGCTTTTTTTTTTTTAAGCATAAGTCTGTTTGAAGAATTTGTGCTGTTTGGCTTGGCGATTGAGCAATCTGGCTTTTGTATGAAAAGTAACAATAAGCTATAAGCTAAAATTAACAGCTTATAACTTATAGCTTTCGAAACATGGAGAGAGAAAAGGTTAAGAAATTTATTATCTCTTTTGGTTCTTATTATAAGCCTCAAATAACTAATTTATAGATAACAAAAAATTAATTAAAATTACTTAAAAGTAATAAATAAGTTAAAAATATACTTTTGTTTTAAATATGCTCATAGAAATATGCTTTTATTTTCAAATATGTCTTTATAATAAATAATAAAAAATATGAGATCAACAGGAGCTTATAAATAATTTAAAATTATTATCTTATGTAAATTGATAATTTTTTTATTTTTTATTGTTTAATAAAAGTCTTACTTATTTTGATAATTTTACAAACTAAAATTACTTACTCAATCATTATTAAAATAATTTTTATGATTTCTCTAAAATTTAAAAATTTAATTCACTTATTAAACTTCACTTCTTTATATTAAATTAATTTAAATTATTGTATTATGTAAATTTATTTTTTTAATCATGTTTCACTTTATATTTAAAATGTTTTTTATAATTTCTCTAAAGTTTTAAAATTTAATTCACTTATTAAATTTCACTTCTTTATATTAAATTAATTTAAATCCATTGTATTATGTAAAATTATTTTTTTAATAATGTTTCATTATTTATTAAAATTATAACCATTTTGGTAATTTTATAAACAAGTTTACTTTTACTCAATCATAATCTAAACAACTTTTTACCAATCTCATTTTTACAAACTAACTTTTCTGAACTCCAATCCAAATACAATTCAGCTTATCCATTTTAATTTTTACCCAACTTTACTTTTTCAAAAGTCAAATTGACAATAAGTTATTTTTCCGATTGTTGATCCAAACAGATCCTAAATTGTGCTGCACTCATTTTCCCTAGAAGTCCTTGAATAAAGAAAAAAAAACTGCAAAGTAATGATTCAGGTTTAGAATCAAGGCTCTTGAATGTGAATGTTGCCAATAGCTACAAGACTTTCTACATGATTAGGAGCAACTGAAACAGAACAGCCACGTCTGCAGGTAGCAAAGTTCTCCAATTTATGACTATTAAGATTCAACAGATATAGAGCAGTCTTATCATGTTTAGGCTGATGTTCAACTTCGCAAACAATTTCATCTAACCAAACGCAGCATGGAACAATATTTGAAAAGGTTCTAATAGTAAATATCTTGCTCCAACACCATCCCTCGTTAATCACCCACAAATCAACCACAGAGGATCTATCTTGTCAGATCTTAGCAAGAGAAAGTATAGCAAGTTTGTTCTCATACGCAGTAAGCTTATCATGTGAACCAAAGTTTAATAAAGCAGGCAGTGATATCAATGAAAGCACCATGAGGGTTTTTTCTCAATGCTACCATGGGTGGGGGGATCTCTAGGTGTGCATTTGGAGCAGAGGTCTCCCATGTTTGTTGTTAGGATTAAGCACTGTGACTTATTTCTGTTTTTCTTTTGTGGTTGTCTTGTTTGATATGTGTTCACCTTTTCTTGTGGGTTATTTTTGTTTGTACTGGGGTTTGCTTCTACCATGATCACTGTTTCTTTGGTATTTGTTATCAAATTTAGACATGTCTTCACCCTTCTGTCATAGAGGGGTTTGTTGAAGCTGTATTTGTTTTTACAGTATTGGCGTCAAAGAAGACGGACTCGGAGAGCATGTCTTTGGACAACCACCTTCTATTGCTCTTTTTGTTGATCATGGTGGAATAAAAACTAGCCTGCTCACTTTCAACCTGCAAGTTTAGGCGAATTGTCTTTATTTGGTTTGTCTCAGTAGCTTTGTGGTGTCGTTTGGCTCTGGTCTTTGTTTCTTTTCTGTTTCTGCTTAAGTGTCTGTATTACGTTCTTCTTCTAATGATATTAAGCTTTTCGGTTCCCCAAAAAAAAAAAAAAAAAAGACCTCCAAAATCCTAAGTCACCCCATTAGATCGAAATGGAATGTTAAACTATGGGCACTCTTACAATATTGCCCTCTTGGATGTTAAAAGACTATGTGACCATTGAACCACTAAGCCCTTATTTTTAAATTTTTTTTGGCTAGCACTTAGCCTTTGCCCCCTTCAGTTGAAGCAGTGCAAAATAATACATAAAATAATTGTTAAATTTTAACTATTTAAAAATAGTCATTTACTGCAGTCCATGCTAATTCGGAGGAGGGAAAAGCGAGAAGATACGCCTTAAAATTTTTTCTATCAATGAATTTTATTGACTTCAAATTACATGCAAATAACTTTTCTAAACTTTATTTAAAAGCTCTCTTTAAAATAACTAAATAAATTAACACAATGAAATATTCATATAAATATAAATTATGGGGATTCATAGTCAGGTTTTCAAAGCGATTATGTGCCATCAAGGCATCAAACTAAAAATTTAGAAAATTCCATGTTTTAA